TTTTTTGGTGATTTTTGGGTATATTTGGGGATAAATAGTTTTTCTCAAAGGATTAGTAAAATTATGGAAATAGGAAATTTTGAAGATTTGATGTTGTTTTAAAATTAGAATTTGAAATTAGAAATTGGTAGACGTACACCAAACAGTTGTCCACCAACCCGGGGTGCCCTTTTGGGGGCAATCAACTGTCTGGTGGTGTTCCAAACCCCTTTTTAACCTTTTAACCCCTCTTTAAACTTCCTAAAATTTCACTTAAATTCATGTGTACCCCTGCCTTAACTGATAAACGTCCTAGGACAAACGACCTGTAGCACTTGTCAAGTTGCGATGCATTCTAGCTTTTTAGAAATTAAAACATGGATGAAAATACTAGTAAAGCTTAGTAATGAACATTTCTTTTCCATAAAAGTTTTCAACAGAGAACCACAAAGGACTGGACCGAGGCGTTTGATGATTCCGGCATCCCTTGCGGTCCAATTAACAACATAAAGCAAGTTTTCGACGATCCGCAGGTAAATCAATTTACAAACCTAAGATGTAAACTGTGTTTCATGTTCTTTGCAGTACGCATTCTTACACGGGATATTCATTTCCAGGTAAAATACAAAGAAATGGTTCAGGAGTTGGAACACCCCACAGCAGGAAGGATACGAGTACCAGGTTACCACGCGAACTGTTCACGTGACAGTTCTCATTCGCTGCAGTTAGTTGTGCGTTCAAATAACAGCTGTGAAGGAGACCACTGACGTGACATACCACTTTACTTTATTATTTTCATTTTGTTATCCACAACTTTTCTTTATCACATTTATTTCGTTATCCACAAGCGATAATTCTTCAGACAAAAGTGGCCGGTGTTGTTTTGGTTTGCTCAGCATTTTTCGAGCTCCCTCCCCCAACCCCCCACCCCCTTCCCACCACGCAGACAGTAAAACAAAGGCCTGTTATTGCCATTGGCACCAACCATTATCAGCTGGTTATGTTCATTGCTTTTTTTACGTGTGTGTCCTATAATTTAGGGAAAAATGCGTTTTCGGCAAGAGAAGATTTCTCTCATTTTCTCTAGGTTTTCGGATGGTTTGGTTAATGAACGTTTTTAACCGGCATCAAACTTATTTAACCCTGGTGATTTGCTTGAATTTTTCAGTAGACCACACCTTGAACCCATTCGGTGTGAACGGTTGGTCAATGTTCAACAATCCTTTCGACCAAATCAACCGAAAATTCTTTTTCCCCAAAAAACTCGAAAAATCTTAACCACGGCCCAGCAGTTTTCAAAACGGTTTGAATAGTGTCCTATTAGGATTCTTTACCAAATTAACGAAACCCGTTGTGGTCGAAATTGGTTGGTGCCAAAGTACGGTCTCCCGCGCAACATCTCAAGGGCCTTGTTTAATGCCCATTTTCTCATGAATAGTATCAGCTCCTTTACATAAGGCTCATATGAAGAGGTCCGGTCCATAATAACCAAGCTACTGCAGTAGGCTCGGTGACGTCACTCACGTGACTTTTCCCGCCCTTGCTACTGGTTGCATGTTTCCCCCCACATGCTACCGGTTAGATTCGTTTGCTCGCTACACTTTTTTTGTGCTCTACCGATTTAAAACTGACATATTTTTCTGTTGAGACATTCTGACTTGTCTTATCTGTTTTCAGGGCCCGCTGTGGAATATGACGGCCAAACATGTCAAGGCGTGCCCAGTGCCCCTCCTATGTTAGGTCAACATACAACAGAAATTCTAACAGATATGTTACAATACAGTGACAAGGAAATTTATAATCTTGAGCGAGATGGAGTCATAGAATCTTACACAAAAAATTAATTTGAATAAGCTAGAGCTACATAAAGGTTGTAAAACAGTTTTAATAAATTAGACACGTGCTGTGTCACTACATTAGTAATAGAGACCTTTAGATTGAACCAGGAGTACGAGATTGAGTATCAGTACGATTTTTGAATTTCACACCAGTGACGTTTCCAGAACCCTCGCTCTTCATGTTAGATTTAGTTAGAGAGAGTAGCTCATGGGATGAGATGGGTATGTGATGTGATAATGAAGCCTGCAAACTAGCATTGAAAAGTTGTAGTTGTACTCGACCTCGTGCTCAAATCTTAGTGAGTCTCCTAATTTTTATGTTTTATAATCCAAATTAGCGTACATTTTATTATTTCAAACTCTGTCCGTTAAGAAATTTCTTGCTGCGATATTCGCTGCTACTCGGTGGACTTTATGGTTATTTGTAATCAGGCTTTGCCTGTTGTTTGATGTCTTTCTTTTAGTTTCCAGACTTCCCGCCCTATTAAGCGCAGTTTATAGGCCCGTGGCCTTTTGGACTTCTCCGCGCCCTCCTCAAGTACTATTAAAAGAATTCTCATATCCTTCCAGAATAAATATCTGATATCTAAAGTCGTCCACGTGGATGCTTAGTGGGACCTCTGGTCGTCGAGCTCGCTTTTCTTTTTTCCTAGAAGATGAAACAAATTAAAAACGAAACTTTGAGGACAGCGTTCACGTCGTAGGTTGAAATGTTGGTAAATTTGTCGCTAGCAACATTGCACACATCTCTCTCTTTTGGTATTTTTAGCCTTTTCAATTATCACACCCCGAGAACAAACTTTTGATTACATGTACCTAAGCTTTTTCTCTTCTTCTTCTCTCCGAAGTTTCTGTTTTCCTTCGTCATCAGCTGGTGTACTGAAATCATCTCTGTCTTCAGCATCGAACAGGCATTCCTTTAAAATAATAAATAACTAAATAAACATCACAAACTCATCAACATGAAAGACAGAGAGAATCCAGAGGACAATAGAAAATAATCTTGCGATCTTATATATGCAGCTTCGTACGGATGTACCCTAAATAAAATCTATGAAAACCTTGTGAAACTTGCGCTAAATTTAATTTCTTTCTACTGTGGATAACGCTTTTTAATCATTTCATCGTTTCGTAGTTTCATTACTAGCTGCTATTTTGATATTCTTACGATTTGTACATGATTCTACGACTTCTATTCCGGTACTGTTGCCTCTAAAGTTGGTGTTGGAAAATCATATGCAGGGTTAGCAATGTTTGGCAAATGCAAAACAGCTCTTTAATTTGCCAACATCCCACTCCTGACAACCCAACAACCGATTACCTTCACACCAAGGACGTCCCCGTCTTGAAGATGAAAAGGAGATTGCCGTAAATTGATTTTCTTTTTCCCACCTTTACGTTTACCCTGTGGAAAAAAGAAACTTTCACCACATTTCCAAACACCGAGAAGAGAGCTGTTTGAAATTGTGGTCAAACACTGTCTCCAGTGTTTGATATATCTTCTCGATCAAGACTAAAACTAAGGATATCCAAACACCGTCACGGTCATGATTTCCTTTGTTTAAAATTGATGAATTATTAACAACTTTGGAAAGTAGTTTTTAATTTCACTGCTTAGCGAAACCTTCAATGCAACATCCTTATAACGGAACAAGATCAGCGCGACAAAGAATGTTCATTCCCATTTTAAAATGTAAGCTGCTACAACTTAGTTTAACTTACTACTATTGATGAACTATTTTATCTGAAAGAGGTCTCAACAAAATAACCATTGAACGAAAAAAACAATGCCGGCATCCAACAACAGTGAATCACCTGCTTTTGAGGTGTGTCTCTAATAACCATCCACTCGTACTTGGCTCTGAAGTACTTAGCCACATGAAGTCGATCAAGAGGTATATTACAAACTTTGGCTACAAACTGACGTAAAGACGCAGGCGAGGCACCATCAGACGGCTCAAAGATCACCTGACAAGAACACAATAAATGAATCACTCCAAGTCACTAGCGCAAGTTGCAATGCGGTGTGGGTTCTCGTTCCCATTGTCTGAGTTCACGTGTACTACATGTGGACTGAAAGTATGGGCAAATTTAAAAACGCAAGGTTCGGGTCTTCCTGTTTGTTGGTTAGGTAATTGCCGACCACTGATCTGCAAATATATTTACATGTAATATTTTAAGGCATCTACATCTTGGCCTAAAGTTAATACATGGCACGAGAATTGTTCACGTATAAAGACACTTTCGTATACCCAAATCGCACTTTCGCTCGAATCAATTTGTAGTCCTAAGAAGCTGGCTTGGCCTCTATCCTATCTTTCTGTCACACAACACTACGCTCTAGCGTTGCGTGACAGAGAGAGGGCCAGACCTGGACTATCCTACCTCTTGTTCGTCGTAGTAACGTCTCTCCTCTGGCATTCGTCTTTTTAATTTTAACAGAACTGCAGAAGGACTTTGACAAACGATTACAGTATCAGTAGCGATCACTTAACTGATCCTTAAGTCGTTAACATACTCATAACATCAGTCATGAGAAATTAGAAGTGCACCAAGACAATAGTCCTTGGTTGATAAATGTCTTTATTCTCATCACATTGTATCGATGTTTTAACGAGAAATTAGACTTTGATCATTTTAAGACACTGAAACCGGGATTAAAAGGAAGGACTAAGTATTTTTTCTCATGTACCTTAAATCCTCTTCGTGTTGAAGAATGCACACAGAAAGTTGAGTAGAGGAGGTCAGTTTTAGCTGCCTGCAAAAAAACAGAAGCCGTGTTTTACGACAATGGACACCTAGAGTAAGTGGGCATTCAGTCATGGCCACACCCACAGACAAACGATAGACATTCCTCTCCTAAGCCGATTAATTTGTAAGTAAGCAAATGAGGACGAACTAGCTCTGTTACACTTTGGAATCGCATTCGTTGGCCCATACACCAGAGTTATATACCAACTCGAATAATGTTTGATATTTGCTAGGCCAAAGTTTCGGTTCATTTATTAGATGGAATGCTTGGCTAACTTTCCTCATTAATTTCAAAACAGAAATACTGAAAGAATAAAACGAGAAAAGCGAACCTTAAAGTTTGATTAATTCCTCTAAGAACTCTTGTCAGCTGATTGTCGACGACTTCCTGAAGTCTGATATATCCAGGTGTGGGGATCACGTGAGCTGATAACTGCGAAAAAAAAATGTCAAATTAAAAGAGGCTAACTTAACACGCGATTATATTTTTGCACAGGTTGAGCCGTTAAATTCAGGCTGTCATTATTGTACTGATTCCACTGTTCTACAATTGATGAACCCAGTTGGTTTAAAAACACTGACTCGCGAGTAAGGTTTAGGAATGGCAAAAGGCGACTGAGTCGAGTTCCACAACTGACGCAATGTTACCTCATTCGAGAACCACTGCCGCTTATCGTATATCCTCGTGCAAGTTCCCGAAGTGTTTCCGATTCGCGTTGTCCAATCAGCAATGGCAAGAGCACTCCAAAAGCTGTGACGTCGCTAGTCACCATTACGGCACGTGATGTTTTAAATTAGAAACAACAGCCGAATACTGCGGGCTCATCGTACTACAGATCAAGGGAAATGACAAAGCGATACAAAACACGACTGTTGTTGTCATAGTGTTAAACATAGTGGACTTCGAATCAAGCCGTCCGATCTCGGGTCGTAGTGCTGTGTTCTTGGGTAAGACACTTTGCTCTCACATTGTACACTTTGATACTAACCTGAGGTAAGAGGCTAATCTGCAGCTTTAGATCATACACCGAGGCTTCTTGGGATATCTCTACATCTTCCAATGGCTCCCATGAGTCGCGCCCCTAATGAATGCGAAAACACGTAATCTATATAACGCCTTGCTGTTCCTTCTAAGTAGACCATTTTCGTATTCTCGGTAATGGACTGGAACTAGCTTGGATGTGAGGCTAATGCGGGGAGTCTTTTCAAATGTAAATCACATTAACCTCTTTTTCATGATATTTCTTCGCATGAGCCTCCATTGCAGGCTAGGTCCAGTCCAATACCGAGAATACGAAAATGGCCTACTGAGACTTTCTCTCACCTCAGAGTTGTCGACATTTTCTGAAGTCTCTATTGAAGATGACCCAAGAAGACCTTAAAGTCGAAAAAAACAAAAGAGGGAGAAAATGGAATTACGTGAGGTTGACCGACCCTGTAAGTTTGAAAACAGTGGCTCGGGCTTCCGTGGCATGAGGAGGCGACAAGCAGTATTTCTACTCCTCCCTGAATGGAATGCCAGTCCATTGCAGGGTTACCCCTCCACCACCACCTACCCAGCATTAAATTCGCCGGTACTTGTCGTTTATGATGCTGCTAGCGTCACAAACATCTGGTCGGTATCAAGAGATTTTAATAATCTCTTGTCGGTATCTATTGGTACACTTGGGTGGAGAGAGACACTGAGAGTAAAGTGACCAGGACCCAGGCTACAACTCGAACTCAGATCGCTCCATCCAGAACTCATCGCACTAACCAACAGGACTTTGCGTCTCAAACTACGCAAAAAGAGCAAAAAAATAATTAGGTCCACTGACCCTGTATACCCGATGTAATCCAGGTGAGAACGCCTTCAGAACTTGGTTCTTTCGCTTTTGTTTGCCACAATGAAAGACGAAGAAATCCCTGCGAGAAAGAAAAAGAAAAGCGCCAAAACCCTGTCAAACGGTACATCACAAGGGCTCTATTGTGTACATTCAATACGACTGAAGAAGTCTTTTGTTAAATGTTTCAAGGTTGATTACCTTTGGGGGAAGTCGTCCCTCTTCAACAATAAGAGTGTCGCCATTTTTAATGTTTTCACTCTCCAGTGTCGCGTCCTATGAGACAAAATGGACTGTAATCGAACAAGATTAAAGATTTTTTTGATAAAATGACATAGTCGGTATTCACCTCGTTGTCCAAAGCGTCGGTCGGTTCTCCAATCCAATTGGTTTTCCTCAAGTGCCACGTCAGTCCTGTCAAAATAATAACCAATCATGACACGAGAACGATAGTGATACAAAACCAAGCCAATAGCGATACAGAACACAGCCCTTCTGCTCCTTACATGACACCAGCACGTCAAGGTCACTCATTAGCACATACAACCGTGACTTCTAAAAAGACTGAAATAAGTAAACAACAATCCAAACAAACAAACGACCAGTGATACAGAACACAACACTTGAATGTCAGTTATGTCTGCAAACCAACACATTTTGTTACGTGGAGGAAAAAAAGAAGTAAACTGTTAACCACCCTCAAGGAAGGTTTTAAACAATTGCACACTCTCTGATTGGAATAGAGTGCAGTACATTGTACCTTGTAGCTTGGAAGTCTCCAACAACAATTGTAAACACTGAAAAATGCAAATGAAAATTATTACTACATCTCAAAAATAAATCAATAAAGCCGTACTTGAACAGTGTTATCTTACATCTTATTATATGCANACTGGTTGTTGGTAGTAGTATAGCAGGGACCAAATTAACCCTTTTTTATGCTGGTATCTTATTGATGTGTGCAGGAGCACATTACATTAGATGATTTCAACGGGGTAGTGTGGTTGTCCCATGAATAAAAGGCAGTGCATTTATCCATCACACAATACAGGCATCAGTATATGATTTCCTCTCCATGCTCTATTGGTGCTTGTGGTAATATGGTATTGACTGTGCACAATATCAGCCCTACATAGGCACGAGGCTCCCGACACTGGCATTGGCATTACTATTGAGTTACAAGAGCACAGCAACTACATACCTGCTATTCAAGAACAATAATATCAGAAGTAAAAATTTATTTGATAAGATCTGTAAGATAGTACCGGTAGCTTGCGTAATTACATAGATATTATGAATTGACTTCGAATATAATAAAAAAGAATTCAGACTGATGTATTTATTGCAGAATACCATGAAACTCTCTTTATGTAATGGAAAAACATTATGATCACTACAGGCCAAATAAATCCACCGCATTTATGAGAAGAAGACACTTAACTATGACGTCAATGAACTTAATGTATTTCTGCGCACAATGACTTGATACTGAGAAGCATACTTTAAAAACATTCGCAGCTACTTAATACAGCATAACCAAATGACCAAATTGCCTAATGCATATTGCTTAGATTGTGGGATAAGACTAGCAGTAGTGCTGATAGAAATACTCAAATGATATATCATCCGGTTTGACCGTTTCAGGATCATAAACGTGAAATCACAAGCTCTGAAAGACGATGTTGGTAGACATTGCTCTTTACCTTGAAAATAGTTTGCAGAAGATCAGTGACAGAATTTCTCCTGTCCAATGATATGACCAGTGGCTCAGTCGAAATTACCTAGTAAAACAAAATGATTCAATTTTTAAAAACAAAAAAAAAAACATGCAAGTCAGATTGGCTTTTCAAAGATAACAAGAGGCGTCTGTGCTAATCCTTGTTAACTGTTACCATAAATTTCTTTCAAATTACTTTTTAAATTTTAGTGGTACATTAAGAAAATATATATTCTACACGATTATTGTTGTTTCATGACGGTTATAATAACAATGTAGATGTAATGTTTACCTGTTTAAGCATAAGTATGCCGTCTGTCACTGTATAGTGGCTGCCAAAAAGTACACTGACAGATATTTGATTTAGATGGACATCATAGTTTTCCCTACACAGAATTTGGAAATGTACTAAGTAATTGCAAGTTAAATTTATTTAGTATTTTTATCTCTGATGGTGTTTGTTATGCAGCCTCTTTATATTTTCTTTTAATTACTTTGGAAGTTGATTGCATTTTGCATACAAACATGGCACACCATGCACATTAAAAACATCAGTCCATAGGCTAGACATGCTCATTAACTTTGTCTTGCATTAAGGAGCACTGGGGTTTACTGGGAATAGCAATAAATAGGAATCAAAATACTTTCATTGGTTATCCTTTTAATTATGAAACCACTGCAATGAGAAACTGAGAATAGCTGCTTTTATATCACTTTAAACTAAAACTTACCGTTGCTTTGTTAGATCTTTGTTCATTTCCTCAACTTCTTTTCTTAAGACAGCAGGGACTGAGAGAACTGTAGAATGATATAAAATTTAACAAACTCAACAACTAAAAAGAAAACAGTTAATAATAGCACAAATTTTTAACTGCAGTGGTGTCTTACTTGGATCATTCTTAGAAAAGACCATGTTTTTCCTTCTGTAGAATAGCATGTAAGCACTCTCCTTTCCAGCAAACTGATGTTGGAGATCCTTCTCATGAATACAGGATATTCTTGAATCATTCACATCAAACCAACAATGTTCTGGTTCAGGCCAATTTTCTCTTTAAGGAAATTATAGTGAAATTATGTTTAGTCAACTAGCTATGAATTTAGTGCAAATTTGAAGCAAATGGGAATCAAAAAGCATACCGTTCCATCAGGGATTGAATGCTCCTTCCATCAGAATCATTTCCAAGTGAACTTGGCTCTTCCTGTTTTGGTACTGAAATTGATTGTGATTTACCAGAATCTTTTTCACTGCCGCTATGCAGTGAAACCCATCCGGAGAAATCACTAAATCGGAAAACATCTGAGTGTTTCTTGAAAAACTGAAAATAAATTTTTGATATATTAAATGGTCTGTTCTATGGGAGAGTGCTAGTGTAAGGCTGGAGAAGGAGAAAAAGGGCTTTCTTTGCTAGTGCTCTATCATCCGCTGTTTTACACTCCCACATGGTTCATACAATGCAATGAAGAACCACTGAGAAAGTAAGAGTGGCTGTCACTTCTCCTGCATTGAAACATTTGGTGTGCTCTACCTTAATTAGTGAAGCAGATCTTACACATTTATGTCTGCTAAGAATCATATATATGTACAATAATACACATGTATGCATTCTGTAAGTAAATAGTAATCTTACCTTACTTTAATTCTAGATTACTCATTCAAGTTAGGTAGTAAGTTAAGTTGAAAGCTCACTACAACACAATGTACCTTGCTAGTTATAGGCACAGTAGTAAAAAATAAAGTACCTTTGTCAGTGGTCCATACTGACTTTTGAATCGCTTATTCCAAGAGGTTCCTGTTTCTTTTGACATGCACTAAACCAGAAATAAACTGGTATGTCAAAATATGAACCGCTAGTGGCTGAAACATTTTTAATAACATTATAGTAAGTAAATTATCTTGATTTTTCTCCTTACAGCAATCACTTTTAGCTGTTTAAGGAACTGCTGGGCATTGAAAGTCAGCAACTGCTACTGATTGAGATGTTCCAGAGGACATTTCTCTATTCATATTTAAAATTTGCTATCCAGTAATCAACATCACTTGTTACCTGACATAACTGATTGACAGATGCTGTGCCACCAAGCTTCTTTAGTAAAGTCACAATCAGGTCCACAGGGTGTTCACAGTATATAACATCCTTCTTTCCACTGTCATCTTCTTTTACAACTCTCACTTGTTCCTTCTCCTTTGATACAAAATAATACTTCTTTAGGCCTGGACAACTGACAGATGAACCCCTACAAATGGACACTGCCTGAGGGCAGACACCTTCCACAAGGTAGCCATAATCCATATAAAAATAAAACTAACAACTTCAACGTACTGTAAGCAGACACCTCCTGAGTGGCCAGTGGGGTACTCTGTAAATCTTTGGATGGGGGTGTGCTGCTGGAACACTTACTGAAACCCTTACCCTATACTAGACCAGTTTGCAACTCTATTTTAGACTAGGCACCAAAAACCACGACCCTATCCCAGACTAGCTATTTTCCATGCCGTTGTAATTCTGTTTATGTGAAGTTCCCACTTCTGGTTTTTGAAATTTCTATAATAATAGAACCCTGGGTAAAGAACCCTGTTCTAGACTAAATTATTTATACACTGACCAATTTCCTGATACATAATACCCTATTCTAGACCAAAACTGTCTGATTTCTATACCCTATCCCAGACAAACTGCCTGAAAACCACACCCTTCACAACGGCACAAGCCCACACAGCTTAAATATGGGAGTACCCTTGGACTAAGTGGGCACTTTTCCTCGTTCTAAGGGTGTTTAGTTATGAAGGTTTAAATTTTAGTTGGTTTGTTCTATTAATACTCTTTCCACTGAAATGTAGGTTTAACTTAGTTTTTTACACCANCCAGTGAGCAGGTTAGTGTATTAGCAAGCAGGATGTATTGGGTGAAATGAAGCGAAAGGAGCCTGGGACAGCAAAAATAGGGAAGTAACCTGAAAGTCTAAACAGTGTATGTAACACCTGACATGAAGAGAAATGATGATGGCACAGCAGTGACAATGACAATGACAATGATGACAGTTGAAGGGGAGCCTGGAATATTAAGCCCTAAGTGACTTTTGGAAAATTTCCAGGTAGCTACAATTGAAATGCCTCCCAGCAATTTTCACAGATTATTCTGGTATTAATTATTATCTTAAAAGAACTAGTAATAAAAACTAGTTATTTTAAGACAATAATTATAATGAAAACCAAAGTAAAATGTGAAAATTGCTAGGAAGTATTTCAATCCTAGCTAACTCAAAATTTTCCACAAGTCTCTTAGGGGTTTATTCCAGGCACCCCTTCAGTTAGTAGTAAAGAAGACAACAATGACAGTGACAGGGATAGTGACAACTTTGGCATTAATTAGTACTACAGTGGTAGTGCTGCTGCTGGTGATGGTGTCGATGATAATGTTTATGACGATGCTGTTGCTGATTCTGATGCTGGTAATGATGCTGATCATGATAATAACGATAAGGAAAATGATGATGACGATGAGGTAACTTATGATGATTCATATGTTGGTTTTTAAAACAAACCTTTAGGGCATCAACATGTTTGTTACATGATTCACACTTGTACTGATTGGCGTCCTCCAAGATCTCCATGGCAACATAACTCATGTACAGGCTCTCCTCCAAGCCACTGCATCCTGAGAGGGTCAGAGGAAGGTCAAGGTAATCTTCCTAGAAAAAGTCATAAATTGATTAATTAATTAAAGTAAATTATGATGACCATCCGAGTGTACATTCTGGTGATAAAATGACAATCATTACAGGAACATTACAGCACACCTTGCAATGATAAAGAACTAATCCTTTTAAGCATTCAAACATGGTTTCAATATCACCTCTCTTTCACTGACTTGACTGCATTCTTGACAAATAACCTGACAATAAAAAGAAATATTTGAGAAACTGTATTTTGGTTACAAAATATAAGTCAGAATAAATTACAAAAGAAAAGGTACTCAACAGATAGTATGACAATAACTAATTAAAGCACTTTGAAATTGATTATTCCTATGCCTGACAACAAATAAATCACATTGACAATAAAATAATGATTACCATTATTCTTTTACTAGCTGCATGAAATATTAAGTTTTTTTTTTTGTTACAAGGTTTTCTAACTATTAAAAAACATTTTAATTAGTGAGTTTAGCTTATGGTGTATATATCTTCCTACTGCACCCTAGGAGAGAATAGAATCAATCTGTTGACTACCTTTTCTTTTGTATCACATAAATATCATTTGAAAATTTGACTAAGTTGTTGTTCATAAACTTCTTCCACATTATAATCTTCAATATTAAATTACAATACCGTTGTTGGTTTAGAGATCAGGACTTTATGTTTAAAAACAATGAAGATCAGTTGCCTTTGTCACTGATGTTCCATGGTAGAGATTCTTGACCAGTGGTTCTCCCTGTGTGCCGACAAGAGAAGATTCCAAAGCACTAAATAAAATTCGGTTCAATTCTTGAACATCATGTTGTTGAAAGCCCTGGAAATTAAATTAACCAGAAGATAATCAGTGTCAAAGTTTATTGTTTAGGGATGCTTTCTAAGGAGCTAGGTTCATATAGTTTATAAACGATTGCTTATTTTCTTGTATTAACACCTACATGTACTATATGTGCCAGTCAAGTAAGCCTGTGGTACATTAATTTATGTTTATTTGTTTTCCATTGATATGCTGTCATGCCATGCACAATTATTCTGTAATTACATCACCTCGTTTCCTGTCCAACCAAAACTATTGGTCAACTCAGAAGTACTGATAATGTCTTGATCCAACAGAAGAAGTTTTGCGAACAGTTTCTGAAGCTGAAGTGGTATCACTCTGACCTGAAAAATAAGCAAAACAATTTAATTTGCTCCATGGCTTGTTTTCTTATCGAATACACATTCTGTATCTTAGCTGTCAATTCAGGCTGTCATTGCATAATCCTCATAATATGCCAACAACTCATATCTTACAAGTCATTATAATATAAGCAATGTAGGAAATGTGTTTTAAAAGTTTTACCATAAAAAGAGATGATATTCACCTTTGAATTTGCTGTACTGCTGGGTCCATAGCAAAGATCTTCTGCTCTGAGTTGGAAAAGGCCATCTGAGAAAGAATAAATCCTTTTTTGAGCTATCTATGCTAATTTGTTCATAAGCAGGTCCAAAGTGTCATGATCAAGTGCTTATAGTAAGCAATAGAATTTACGAGTAACACAATCCACACCTGGGATAAAAATTAAGATACACACTGACTTTCAGAACTGCCAAGTCCCACAGCCTGCCAGTCTGTGACATTCTTCAGCTGTACGTCAAATTAGCATGAATACAAAGCTGAATTTCTTGGATTTGCTGTGCTATTTCTATATCCTTACTGATTCTCCAGATTTCAACAGAGATCACCCAATCAGTTGTGATAAAAAAAACCCTTGGACCAGTTTCCAGATTATACAGGTTGACAAATCTCACTGTTGTTGGCGAGATCTCATTGCTGGCGAGTTGGGTTACCTTATCATAAATTATATTATTATTATTATTATTATTATCATTATTATCATTTTTGTTACTATTATTATTATTATTATTAATTTATTAGTGTTGTTGTTATTGTTATTGTTATCATAATTATAATTCTATACATAAAAAATAATTATTGCTATAATGTAGAACCACGAAGTAAATAACAGATAATTATGTCAAAAAATCAGACTGGATCAACTCCTAGGCCTCCCAAGGGTTTTGAGGAATAAGGCAACATGATCATTTATTTCAAGGGAACAAGGAATATTTTGGGGATAAATTTGAGGAACAAGGGATATTTCTACTATGAACAGGAACTTTGACAAAAAATTTAGGGAACAAAATGATGGAGTTTATTAATAGGGAAGAAGGGAGAAAAAGTGAAATTTTCAAGGGATCAAGGGAACATGCCCCTGGGATGCTCTGATGCAGTCCAAGTGTTGTCCCTGCCTGTAAATCAGCTTTGAATCAGCATTGAATGACAGTTTTACAAAGCAATTTGGTTTATGTAAAATGTACTTCAGGTATACAACAGGGTGGCAAGCAATCCAGCATGTACTGGAATTGATATGGTGTGGGGCAGATTGTAAGGGAAAAGGGGAGAGGGCACTGATCTGATTGTCTGATTGGGCAGGTTTGCAAAGTCATGCTAAAAGCATATATGGCCTTATGTCTCAGCTGGACAAGGAGGATGAGTGAGTAACCTCAAAATATAAATCCAAAAACAACTAAACTAAAACTGCTTGAAAATTACCATAAAATGTAAGCTAAGTTTGTCCTGTTACATTGTATGTTTGCCCTATAAGCTTATAAGTTCATTGATATTGCAAGCAGCTGATCTAAGATAAATTAAGCCAGATTAAGCTTTTTTGATACCAAAGTTCACTTATATTGGCCCATTCCATTTTTATCACGCACCCACCCCACCCACCTATTGAGGGTCTAGGAAATCTGAAGGGGGGTGTTTAGAGGCCATTTCTGAGGGGGCAACAATGTTGGTGCCTTTGATCTTTTACAAATTCTGAAGGGGGAAAGTGTGTTGGCACTTTGATCTTACTTTCATGGGGTGGGGGAGAAGTTTACTTTTCTGAGGGGGGTAAAATTCAAAGTTCCTCAATAGGAGGGGGACGGTGCGGATAAAAATGGAATGGCCCATTGGAAGAAAACGTCACCTCTAAATTCAGGAGTAAAGAACAATGTCTGCAGTAGAGAATTTAAATAGCAAGTGGCTCCTTGATTCTGCAGGCCACAGATTCTTGTCTGACCTCTCGGTTCACGAGGTGAGTCTAGCTTCTGTTGTTTCCACACTCCGGTTGCAGTCTCACGTTCGGAAGCAACTTGTTCGGTTTCAAAAAGACACCCGAACATAATTCAGAAGAAAACTAATAATTTGTTAGATAAATATGCTAAATTACCGATTTCAGGTGATTTCAATACAGACTGCACAATCGCAAGCGTAGTTTCCGCTCTTTACTTTATATTCCGCCATCTTGCTTTTCTGTTTATGAGCCTGCGATTCAGTTCGCAACCAATTAACAAATTGACACCTTGTCAGGGTGGGACGGTGGACAGTGTTCACTTTGTGATATTTCACCTTTTGTTCTGTGAAATTAACTTCACAGAAAAAAAAATATCGTTTACATCAGAATATATTTCCTTATTATTGACGCTTTTTTCCCTTTTCTCATTTAATTAAAGGCCAAAATCCTGTTTTTTCCCCACAATTTCCAGTAATCCCGACTCCTCCCCACAGGATTTGAATGTAATTTAAATATGGCGGACTACACGTGAGTTTGTTGTTCTTGTCGGTAAATCTGTGTTCTTCTTTCTGTACAACGCAAGATAATATAAAAAATCGGGATTTAATATCTGCGAGGATTCGGGCTTGGTATAGCTATCTTGTAAACAATTTAACTTGTCGGTCGAGATCTTGCAGATTGGTTCATATTTTCAGAGTACATGGTGGTGATGCCTTCATGCTAGCACTGCTTATTTGTCCATGCATTGTAGAACAGTCACATTCTTCTGAAAACATGCCAAGAACAGATGTAACTTCTCAAAACCAATTGGGATTAGAGCTACAAAGCGACGAAAAGAAGCCACGAAAATCATCGAAATTAGCTGGTAAAGTTCTCCTTGGAGTTACTGGAGCCGCAGCTGTTGGACTTGTTCTTGTCACGACACCTTTTGTAACGCCAGCGCTGAGAAAAATTTGTCTGCCTTATGTACCAGCGACTGAAAGACAAATTACTAATATATTGCACATGGCACAAGCTGTCAAAGGGCAAGGGTCAAAGTTGGTAGACTTAGGCAGTGGGGACGGAAGAGTGGTGTGTATTACAACTGCATTATTATAATCTATAATTACAAGAATTCTTCAGACCGGTATTCTTGGTTTTCATGTTATGTCATGGCTGCCATACTAGACGACATTAGCAAAATACGAGGGGTGAGGAGTGTGCGCTCCTCGCCTCCAGGATTTCGTGCGGCCATTTTTTTCTCGCGGTTTTCTTTCGTGTCACGCACGACGGACTGAGCGAAAGAGGGACTACTTGTAGTCTACTAGTTAGCTAACTAGCTTCTTTAGATCATTCATCGCAGCTGCTAAGCCTTTGTTATTTGAATCTCCTGAGACCATCAATACAACTACTAGTATACTAATGAAGATGCTGCAATCTGTTTTGCTGAGCTATCTTACACTGCCAACCATTCATCTCCAGTGGCCAAAGGTTGTTTACAAAATAATGGTGGCACTTTCTGGTTTCCCCCAAGTTTCCGAGGCTGGTTTATAAATTCAACTGGGAACCTTTCCAGTTGAAAACCACAACAGAAAGTGCTCACTAATTCTTTTTTGATTGTGATTGACAGGTAATTGCTGCTGCAAGACAAGGTTACAAAGCGCATGGTTATGAACTCAATCAGTGGCTGGTTTGGTATTCAAGACTACAGGCCAGGCTACAAGGACTTAACCAAAAGGCTACATTTTCGAGGGCTGACTTGTGGAAGGTGAAAAGTGTAAAATTAAGCGCCATTTAATGTTTCTATTTAATTGAAGGCATTCAACTGGAAAATACTGCAATGCCTGGGAGGGAAGACTAGGAGGGGGGTGCCCGTTGTAACCTTTAGGGGTTATTCATTCTTTTTTTTTTGCGAGTTTATGGACCTCGACTCTGTCTCAGTCCATAAACACACAAAAAAAGAACTTGGCCAAATATCTAGCCATCTTGACTGCACACTTACATAACCCATATATATATATATCTATTTGCCATATATAAATGTATTGCTGTTCATGTAAACAAGAGCATTGAGGATTTCTCCCTGATGAACAAGTCAGTTATTCACAACACAAAACTAACCAGACTGTCCATTCCTTTGAAGGTTAAACTGACAACCTATGACACCATTGTAATATTTGGAGTCTCAGAAATGGTAATTTTATATTTCAGTAGCATTTGCCTTCTTTTCTTTCCCATTCTTTGATTTTAATTTCTGACTAATTCTTTTATTTCTGTTTGGAATGCTTAGATGCAAAAACTGCAAGATAAATTTCAAGTGGAAATGAAGGATGATGCTCAAGTACTAGCTTGTCGTTTTCCATTACCAAACTGGAAACCAACACAAGTGATTGAAGAGGGAATTGACAGTGTATGGCTATATCAGAAACCCAAACCGTGAATGATTCTGTATTTGTGACTAATCACTTTGGCAAAGTAAAGCACTTTGGTAATTTTCAAGAGCTACAGGCTGCCACATCTAGTCCATTTCTGTGCTAGTTTTTGCTACTGTGACATTTTTTTGCCATCTGTGCCAGTAAATTTCCTCTGTCATTCCATTCTATAACTTCCATATAATGTATAGTTCCAGAAAATATCAATACCCATCCAAGGAAGGTCAAAGGAAATTCCAAGGAGGAGGGGGGTTTCATAAGCCAAACTTTTTGATTAACAACAACGACGACAACAACTCTATTTACTCATACATTTACAGTTTTTTTTTTTGTTTTTGAAGGAAGTGGGAGGGGTATAGATATGTTTTGGAACAACAGAATTTGCAAGTAAAAAAGTTCTCCCTGCAGTGGTGCATTTCAAAATCATGCAAACCCCATTTATGAGACAATCAATGAACCTTGAAGGGAAACAAATAAAACAGATCAAAATCGTCCAGTCACAACCACAGACATGTGCACCACAGGGCTCAGCCTCGTTTAATATTCAGCACATACATGTTACAGAGCAACAAAGTGCAATCTTTGCCTACATTTACATCAAGGAGATGATAGATAGACATTTGCTACTTAACAATCTTATGTGGAACTTAGCTCTGTCTTTCTTATGTCATGTAATTTGTACAATGGGAACAGAACTTAAAAAAAAAACAATAAGGTTGCTTGAAAATTACTGATGTATTGCTTAAAAAGCTTAGTTTTATTAAACTGTCCTTCCAACAAGATCATCTAATGGTGTGTTCTGAGAACAAGCCACAGTCATGAAGTGTCTCACATAGTGTTATTGTTAAAGTTCTTCAGCTGCCATGAAACACCAACAAGGCCTCAAGAGTCAGGCTCATATCTAGAATAAGAAAACAGCTAGAATGAGGGTCTTAAGTAACCAATACACTGTATACAAACTAATGCTGTTAGGGACATTTTCTACCAACCAAGACAGTTAGTTTTACACGCCCCTCATTGTTAACTGGAGGTGCATTGAGTAAATGGAGATAGTAGATGGGTGCAGATTCACATCACTTCCTCCCACCTTCCAGTCACCCCTTCTGATCCCACTGGGAGTTTTAACCAAGTATCACTCAGGCACAGCATGATTCACAAGTACATAAAAATGTACATGTAGAATGTCATGTTATAATCTTAGCTTGACAATATTTTGCTGGATTATGACAGTACTTAAATTCTTCAGTATGAGCTGTTGACCTTGCTCCAAAACTATCCTAACATCGCTATAAATTTTAGCAAAGTCCACATCCTGGCCCGATTCCAAAATGGCATCAAAGTCTCTTGCAATTCTTCACAACAGGAGCCCATGTTCAGATATTTTCTAAACTTGGTAAATTTCATATTGATATTGTGGTCTTTTTATATACTTTGGCTCAGTGCTTTACTGAATATCAAAAATGCTAATAGGTATCAAACCTTTCTAAGACCATATTTTCAATGTATTACTCACTTGCGTAATCGAACTCGTAGATCTTTAATCTGATCATTCTTAGATGTTAACATCTGCTTCATATTCTTGTATTGAGTTGTTTCATTAAATTTCTTAGCAAGATCCTAAACAATAAGACAGATAATTACCACAAGTGAATTATATGAACATGC